CTGCTCTTCGTGTTTGAAGAGCACGATTGCTGGCGCATCTGTGTGTTGCGCCAATCTGAATGCGAGAGGTAGGTTCTGCCATCTGCGGCTAGCACGACGCGTCTTGTCCAGCGGCGAAGACGGGCAGTTCAGTGCGCCTCAAGGTTGCTTGTAATGATTGCTGCCGCATCTCCACGCGTGATCCGTGCAAACCAAGTCTCTGTGACTTCGGGCGTTGCTAAATCGATGCGTTCGTCGCCGCTCGTACCTATTATGACACGGGCGTAGTGGCGCGTGGTATAGTTTGTCTCCAGGTGGTGTTGAACGTGGTGGGCATGTCCTGCATGCTGGGGTAGTGGGGGGTATGGAAGTGGGTTGCGCCATATTGTCTGGAACTGGTGTCCTCACGGGACTGCGTCGCGGCCTAGAACTGCGCCTCTGTTGTTCTGGTTATTTATTTCGTCCTCCTGCCGGATTGCCGCCAACGCGTCGGCTGAAATCGCGGCCGCGCTCTGGAAGCAGCGCACGTCGCAGCCTACTACGCGGTATTTGACGCGCGCGGGTAGCCGCTGTCGCGCGTGAAACTGCTTGTTGCATTTGAGGCAGGTGCTTCCCGCTACCTTGCATGGCCTGTCGCATGCTAGCGGGTGTTTCTTGGTCTTGCGGATATTCCGATCCACGGTGGTCTTGGATGTGCGCCCGCATTCGTAGCAAAGCCATGCAGCTCGTTGCGCTGGTGGGTCGTGCGGCTGGGCTCTGTTGTCGCAGTCGGTCTGTTGACTGCGTTGCAGCCATGGCGCTGACTTGGTCGCTAAATATGATGTGTTCCCTTTCTGTCGACTCTGTCTACCTGGTTGTTGGGCTGCTTTGGGGCGTCGCGCGCGTACTCGATCCATCTCATGATGTCCCAGTGGCCTTCGGGTTTCTGGTGAGGTGGTCAGGCTAGCTAACCGTTGCAGGTCCGCAGTGGTGACGTCTGTCCAAATATCTCGGGCGTTGCGACTGCCCGGCACAAGTCGCTGTCGCTCGTGGTCGAGGCCGATGAGCCGCAGTAAGATGCGCGGCCCGTGCGCGGGGAGCTTGGGCGAGTACCTGGGTCGTCGTGGATTGAGCTCGGTCTAGTAATCCGTCCGCGAGTAGGAATAGTCGCAAGTCAGAGATTGGCTTCCCGGGCTGTTGTAGGTGATGGGCGTGGGTGGCGCTGCGGTAGGCCTGGTTGCGCGTGGTGTTGAGCTGTGCTGGATCCTATGTCTCTGCATGGTAGCACAAGTGGCAAGTGGCGAACGCGTCGGCCATTCTCACATGGATGTCTGTGCGTCGGCGCTCGTTCTTGGAATGCGTTGGTCTGAATGGTATGAGCGATGCCTTTTGCCTTGTGATTTGGCGTGCTGCCCCCGAGTTGAACGTTGATGCTGCGCGTCGGATCGAGATGGGTGCCGGGGTAGTCGTAGATGTGCGTGACGGTGATGCGTTGCTCCCAGGGTGGGCACTGGATGCTCGGATCTGGCCGTGCAAGTAATTTCTGTTTGGCTTGCATTGTGCCCGGACCTGCTGGTTGCAAGGTGGATGCTGGTTTGCGTGGTTTGTAGTTGGGTCCAGATTGAACCCGTAACTTGTGAGTATAGCGCGTGCGCGTGGGCCGCCTGGTCAACCATGAAGTGCTCTATGGGGTCGTTGTCCTTGCGCTACGCCATGATGGGCGCGTCGTCGACGAAGGCGATGCTGGTGGCGAGCTCATCCAATTTCGTGCCAGTTGCTTGAAAATTGGAAAGTCTTGGTCGGTTGGGTGTCGGTGGTTTGACGGCGTGGGGCTTGTCGGAGATATTATGCGATCAGGCTTCGGGTGGTCTGGCAAATCGTAGGTTGTAACTAGCGTCTGCTGAACTGTTGCCAAGTCTGGTGCCGCTGGTTGGGTGTGCAGTGGTGCTGGAGTTCGCACGCGTGAAATGCGATGCTCTGTAAGACTCAACGAATCGGGCTGCGAAGTGGTCTCGTTGGTGCTTGTCCAGCATGCCTGGTCGTGTAAGGAGGGCTTCTGCCAGTGGTATGATGCTGTTGGAAAGCCCTGGTTTTGATAATCTGTGTCTTGAGATTGGTCTGGTTTGTCGCTACGCACTGTTTCTCTGACGGCTGCGTGGAATGCTGCAGCAAGGTCAATGTAGTAACGTCTGGTGCTTGTCTTGCTGCTCTGGTTGTCGCGGGTGGTTGGTGTCGCCGCACGTGCAGCGACGGCTGTAGATCTACCCGCCAGTCGTCCACACTGTGTAGGCAGTAGCTCTCCTAATCGCATTGCTGTGAAACTCTGTCTTAGGTATGTGTACTGGAGCTTGGGTATCTCTGGAGCGAGTTATGTTGATCGGTATTGTGGGGGCCTTGCTGGTGGTGCCTTGTCCTTTGTATACTGGTATTGCTGTACCGTTCCATAGTAAACGTTCTTGTTGAATGAGTGGTGTCTTGAGTGGTAGTAGGTGGACGTGGCTGGTCGTGCTGGCTGGTGCTGCTTTTAGTTGTTCAATGGTGATTATGTCGGTTCCTGGTTGCCTGCGTCGCTTAACGTTTCTGATATGCGCTGCCGTCATAGAGGGTGTGTGATGACGCAATCAAGCGTGGGAGGTGTGATTGGTGGCTTGAGCGTCTGGTTGTAGAAACTCCACATGCCTGCGTTATCGGTGGGCTTGGCTCCTTCTTGTTTAGCGAAATGCCTTGTGAATTCGTGTGCGTGCTGTTCGTCGCTCTCAAGTGCGTCCCCGTCTGTGTCGGTAAAGTATGGAATGGCCTGTGCCTTGGCTACTTTTCCCCTGGTGCTGGGGCCGTATCGTAATTCTGCTTGGGCGTGTTGCCGGGCTGCTCTGTGTTCGTAGGGGTCGTAGAAGTGTAGGAATAGGCTGGGGAACTGGGTGATCTGGTCTGCTCGGTCTGCTTTGGATTCGATGGCTAGTGGTGTCCTCATCGCTTTTAAGAAGGTGCTGGTAGCAATCAATGGGTCGTGCTGGTCGGTTTCGTGCTGGTCAAAGGGACGCCCTGCGAAATACTTCGTGATATCCGTGTTGTGGTGCATGGTTGGTGTAGTTCGTCTGTCGTGTCGTAGTACTGCTACGGCGTGTCTTCTCAGCCTCATTCGCTTCACTGCGTCGTTTGATCTGTACGGCGGTCTTGGGGTGAAGTCGTCCGCTGGGAAGCATGCTTTGACTACAGTGTGTGGCGTGTCGGTGGTCTGTTTTTGGTGTTCTTTGGTAGCGGTTCCCCCTTGTCGGCAGTGGTTGGTTGGTTGTCGAGTAGGTTGGCGAATCGTGCTTGTCGACTTGCGTCTTGCATCCTGATTGGGTCGGATGGTGTTGGCTGGTTGCTCTTGCTTGTTTCTGTGTTGCGAGTGTGGTGGAAGGTCGTGTAGATTGGAAAGTGGTCTTCGTTCGTAGCTACTGAGTCCTGATGACAGTCAACGTATAGCTCCTGAACGTATGGTATCCAGTTGTTGGAAATTGCTATGTGGTCGTTGCGGTGTTTCGTCAGTTTGTCCTTGTATTGCTTGACCAGTGCGTGAGTGGATTCGTGTTCGATGACTGTGCTGATGCAGGTAAGGTCGTACGCTGCAGTTGTGAGTCTTACTTGTGTGGCGCTGTCGTCCTCTTCCTCCTCCTCATCGTCCCCCCTCCTCCTCCTCCTCCTCCTCCTCCTCCTCCTCCTCCTCCTCCTCCTCCTCCCCCTCCTATTCCTCTTCCCCCTCTTCTCATCATCATCACCATCACCATCATCATCAACATGATCACCATCACCATCACCATCACAACCACCACCATAATCATCATCAGCATCATCACCGTCATCATAATCATCAGCAGCATCAGCAGCATGATCATCAGCATCACCACCATCACCATCATCATCGTCATCAAAATCATCACCATCATCAGCATCATCGTCATCATCGTCAGCATCACTATGACCATCACCATCACCACCACCATCACCATCACCATCACCATCACCATCGTCATCACAATCATCGATTCGAACAGCCGCCACCTAGAATGCTGGACTGGCACGGTGGCTGAGTTGCTGCAGACAGCTGACCGTCCTCATGAGCATACCCGTCAACATCATCTTCATCCTAACCCTGCCCGTCACGATCATCCATCCCTCCTCTTCCTCTCGTCAACCCCCATCATCTCCCCAAGAAGCTCTTCAGAGGCCTCAAGAAGCTCGTCAGAGGCCCCAAGAAACACTTCAGAGGCCCCAGGAAGCTCTTCAGAGGCCCCAAGAAGCTCTTCAGAGGCCCCAAGAAGCTCTTCAGAGGCCCAAAGAAGCTCGTCATAGGCGCTTTGGGTCTGGGCCTCTTCCTGGGGCCGACCCCCTTCCACCCCGCTTCTGCCGTGCTCGACGATTTTCAGACTGCGGGCCACACAAACGTCCACCAGGCCACACCAAACACCCAACAGGTCACGCAAGCACCTTCTCTCCCCCTCTGCCGTTCCCCCCTGGGCGCGCCGCGGCCCAGACCTCCGACGAGTTTAGTGTTTCAATCGCGCTGTGTTCTTGCTCTTCTCATTTCGGCCTCCAGGGGCCGCATTGTCAGGCCGCGGGGCCACCAACCACCACTGCTTTTGGCCGCCGAGCGAAGGAGTCGGGAGTTTTGGGGGGGGGGCTCGCTGAGGACATTCGGCTACACGGAAGAGTAGGACGAGAATGATGTCATCATGCGATTGGCCCAGGATGCGGTCCAGAAGCTCCAGAGCATCTGGCGGCCCTCGTTTCTGGAGCCCGTGTGGAACAGTCGGAATTCGAGAAGTCTTGGAATCGTGAGACCCTCACCTTTTGCTCCTATGAGAGAGCGGCCCTGGGCAATAGTGGCCTGGCCTGTGGCGCGCGGCATCGGTCCGCCCCCGCCTGGGCGCGCGAACTGCCTCGGAGAGATGGAGTTCGGGAAAACGCCATTGCCGAGGGGCCAGATCCCAGCGCGCAGGCCCGTGCTGGGGGGACCCCGTCACTCTGGCGAAGGGCCACTCTGTGCGCGTGGCCGAGACCTCCACCTCGCCGCAGAGCAGCACGTAGACGGGGCTCTGGCCCAGGCCGAGGACGTCGCCGCGGTTGACGATGACCTCCCCGGGGGCGAAGAAGGCGTCCTCCGCGCACCGGCAGCAGGCCGAGAGGAAGTCCGCGCCCGCCTCCGACAGGAAGTGATTGTGCTTCAGCCTGTGCCTCAGTCGCCCATGGCCGCCGTCCCCCGCCACCTGGAGCCTCAGCGCCTCGAAGCGGTCCCACTCCTCCGGGTGCTCCCGCATGGCGTCCTTGAAGTCCGACCTCGACAGCGTCTGCACCAGCGTGAATCCGGTGGACCTCGCGGATGCTGGGTAACTGCTCGTCAGGCCCACCAGGGCCGCCTCGCCGAAGACGCGGCACCGCAGCTGGGCGTCCTGCTGCACATCGTTGCCCGTCTGGATGCTGTACGAGCCCGTGAGGAAGAAAAACATCTTGTCGCCCTCGGCGCCCTCGATGGTGATGGCCTGGTCCCTCCTCCTCTTCTTCCCCCTTCTCCTCCTCGCCGCGACCTTGCGTTCCATTGTGTGCTATGTGAGGCATGGGGCTAAGAAACTGCCGCTGACTGGTACCTGGTTTGTCTCCTCGTCGTCGTCGCCTCCTTCCTGCTCTCCCTCTTCCCCTTCCCTCTGCTGTGCTCGATGGCCTGGTCTGGCCTGTAGATGGCGTCATTGAGCTTGGCGAACAGCTTCTCGGCAAGCCCCTCGGGCACGTGCCGGAAGAGCGAGGACACGCCCAGCAACTCGGCAGAGCTCCTGCCGCCGCTGAAGCTCTTGTGGGCCTTCCTGGCCATCGACCTCAAGATGTTTTTGGCCACGGCGTCCCGATGCTCCTAGGAGCGCACAGGACTGCATAAACATGAACTGTCGGAGCTCCGCGTGTTTCCCGGATCCGCGCTGGGCCCGCCTGGCGGCGCCGCCAGCGCCGCCGCTGGCGCGCTCCGCGCGCCAGGGAGGGGGATCCACCAGGGGAGCCCAGCGCAGATCCAAGAAATCCGCGCGGAGCTCCGAAAATTCACGTTCATGCGATTGTTTCTTCTCCGAGCTCCGGGAACAACTCGATCACCTTCTCGTACACCTCCTTGCTCAGAATCTGCACCTCGCAAGAGCTCTGCGGCACCAACTCACCTGTGTCCCCGGGCATCTCCATCAGCACCTGCTCGTTGAAGCAGTCCCCGTCCGTGTAGACGCAGGTCCCACCCTCTGCCTCGGCGGTGATCGTGCCCTGCAGCACCAGAACCGCGGCGTCCCTTCGCAAGCTCTGACCACCGAACGACGTCCACTCCCTGAGCTGGGTGATCCGCCGCTCCTGGCAGAAGAACAAGGAAACGGAACATGGCATAAACAGAAAGACTTGGAGGTCCGTGCGAATTCCTCGGATCGGCGCTGAGGCCTCCTGGCGGCGCCTCCGGCGCCCCCTCCCTGGCGCGCCCCGCGCGCCAGGGAAGGGGTCCAGCTGCGATCCGAGGGAATCCGCGCGGACCTTCGAGAGTTGATGCTCGTGCAGCTGTTTCCAAGGGGGAACAAGTTATGACATAAGCATATAGACTCGGCGTGTCGCGGCGGCACCCCGGCGATACGTTATGCCCTACGAGCGGATAGCGTGTTGCTCCGCCCCGCGGGGCGGGAGGCCGGAAAAAGGCTCGGGCCATGGACGCTTGGGAATGGAGACGTGGTTGGCGTGTCGCGCCAAAGCGTGGTGGGCCAGAACTGGCGGCGCGACGCGCTAAGCCAAAATTCCTGACGGTACCCCTATGCAGCTTTCTCTTCGCTTGAACTCCGCGTACAGGTTGACCAGGTACAGCAGGTGCCGGGGCATGCCTCGAGGAAGAAAACATGGCGTGACCATGAACTGTCGGAGGTCAGCACAGATCCAAGAAAACCGCGGGGATCTCCGAAATTTACAGTCAAGCTGCTGCAATAAGGAACGCTCAATAAGGAACGAAACCCGCGATTGGCACCAAATGAGCCTAAGTGCACGAGAAGGGCTAGAGGAAGAACCACGGATTGACCAGCAAGGAACAGGGAGCCCCTTCCGAACCCAAAGCGGTCCTCATTCCAGCATCTCGACTGCATGGTTCTGCCATTTGTTGTTCCTCAAATGCCCTCGAAGATCGGCCACGTCTGCACCCCGACGTTGCCCTTCTGCGTCGCCAGCTTCTCGAAGTGCTGCCGCTCGCCTGGATGCCTGTCCAGGGCCGCGAGGAAGCCCACGCGAGGGATCTCCATCGTCACGCACAGCGTCGTCGCCCTCACCGTGGCCGCCCTCCTCCTCGCCAGGCCGAGCATTTTTGTGCTGACATTCGCACCCCACTGACGAGCCGTCCCCTCGCCAGCCATCAGCCACTGAAGGGATCATGCCAGCTGAATTGTCTCCTTGGACATGGGCCAATGGCCGTCCTGTACCCTCCCCACTTAGCCAGCACATCCCGGCCGCTAACCCCTTCCCGAGCTAGCTTGCGACAGACTCCTCGTCAAGCCGAGCATGGCGTACTCCCCGAAGATCGACCCGGCGCCGAGCTCCTGCACCCGCCTGCCAGGCCCAGCCAGTACCGGATCGGGAGATCGGGCCGGGGGAGTGCGCATGGCATCGGGCCACATTGGCACGGAGTCGCGACATCGAGTGCTGGGACCTGGGAGGCCCTCGTCGCCCGAGACATCCTGGGAGAACGAACCGAGTCCCAAACCCGTGCAATGACCTGGAATCCCCACTGACTCACCACACAGTGTGGTCACCGCACCGTTTGGGGGCCCCCGAGGGCCATCGGAGCCCAATCAGACCGAGCCAGGAGGTGTCGGAATCAGATCAGATCGGTCGGATCGGAATGAGCCCCGCCTCCCGCCAACCTCCACCATCGTGGTCCCGCCCTTCACGAGGAACATCTGGCCAGCGTCCACCGCCCCCTCCACGGTCGCGGTCTGGCCGGGCAGGTAGTACCGCACCTCGATGACCTTGCCCATCTCCTGTAGTGGGGGCAGCCCAGTCATGATCGCGGTGCGCAAAAATCGAAACGGGGGGGGTTCGGTTGTTTTCGGCCTCTGGGGGCCCTCGCTGGGCCCCCGGACCGTCAAAGACGACTCGCGATCAAAAATCGGCTCCAGGGACAAGGTTCGGACTTCTCGGTGCCCCGCATTGGAAAGATCAGGACATCGCATGTCTGGGAAAGAGGAGCGGCACCCCCACCTCCAGCGAGAGAGGAGACATGGAGAGTGCTCCATGGTGCTCCTGGTGGCGTGGCCACCCTTCCCCTGCTCGAGACATCCCCAATCCCTAGCTCGGGGAGGCATCGTGGCGTTGCTTATTGGGGGGGGTCGATGAATGGGGTGGAGAAGCGTGCACCTTTCGTGCCCTGTTGGGCCCCGGGGGGCCCTCTGAAGGGCTCCTTTGTCGCACAGGAGGTGCACCTTTCTTCGCCCCCCCCCCCACTTGTCGCCCCCCACTGCGCAGCGCCCAATGGTGCCGCTTCTTTTCCCCTGCGGTCCTGCGTGAAGGAGTGGCCGCAGGGGCGGAAGACCTCCAGGCGGGCGGCGTCCCTGCCCCGGGAGTCCTCGCCAGGGCGCTCGCGCCAGGACTCAAAGCGGCGGACCTCCTCGGGGTAGCGCTTCAGCGACATCTGGAAGGCGTTCTTGAGCGCGTCGTTTCATTATCCGCGATAGCGGGCGTGACCGAACCCGGCCGCACGACTCGCGCTGACCTCCGAACTGTCTGTGGCTCTTCCCAGACATTCCCAGACGGGGCCTGCGCGAAACGTGACGTTATCGCTCCCCCCCTCCCCCACCCCTGGTAACGCCCGTTATATCGCCCAGTTGTTTGTATTTTTATGCTCAAGAAGAGAAGCGCTCTCCTTGCGGATGGAGAGCAGCAGCCCGATGGGCGAGTGCACGCGCACGGAGGCCGCAGCCTTATCGGACCACCCTAGGAACACCTGCTCTCCGAAGCACGTCCCGACATGGACCGTGGCGATCATGCCCTTGCCCTTGACGGCAACCCCGCACACGCCAAACTCCAACGTGTGCAAGGTCCCCTCGTCGCTGCCCTCCTCCGTGATGAGGGCGCCGCAGAAGCACACCCGCCTCTCCGAGATGCTGGCCATCGTCGTGATGAAGGTTGTGGCGCAGTCAGAAAACAGCAGCAGCGTGCTCAGCACCTGCGTGCGGACGGGTAAGCTCGGCTTCAGGAGCATCGCGATGTCACGGAGGCGGCCGTGGATGCAGGCGCAGAGGCCTGGGTACCGAGTCAGCGCCGCGAAGAGCCCCTCGGCCGGAATCCGCACCGCCACGCAGGTGGTCGTTGAGCGCACCGTGGCCGCCCGGGTCACGCGGGAGCCCACGAAGCCGACGTCCCCGATGATGGCCCCCGGCGTCAGAGTAGTCACGAAAGCGCGGAAGCCGGGGGGCGACGAAGAGGGGGCCCTGGAAGAGGGGGATCAGCGCATATCACTGCCCGAGGTGAGGGGACGCTGGGGGGCGCACTGAAAGAAGAGGAGGGGCCATGAGATTTCGAAGACTTGGCGGCCCCGGGCCCCCGCCTTTGGAGGAACAAAGAGGTACGGATACCGCTGCTCCCTGGACCTCTCCCGGGGAGCATTCTGACAAGAACTTCGAAGAGAACCCAACCATGGCGACGAGGGCTCTCCAGGACGAGCACCGGCATCGGTTCCTTTCCCAGACATCCTCCACTATGATTTTTTCAAGCCGCGATCCCAAAAAGCCCCGACCCCTTCCCGTCCGGGTAGTTTTCCGTCCCGGAACCATTTTTCATGGTCCCAGGGCCCGATGACGGGCCCCAGAGGCCGAAATCGGGATCAACGCCTGGCTTGAAAGAATCGCATCCTCGGAGATCTGGGCTTACACCTCTGGGCCAAGAGGTCCTCACAACTCGGGGTCCTCGCCCGCCTCCGCGACGCCCCCCGAGGATTGCCGTGTGCTTATTCTCGCCGGGCACGAGCTTCTCCACCGTGGCTGTGCCCTCGTCGATGATGATCACCGATTCGGCGTGGCAGCCGCTATCGCCCTCTGTGACGATCTCCGTTCCTGGCTCCAACACGAGGCGCTCCGCGCACTCGGCCAGCGCCTTGGTGGGCCCTGGAAACGGCAAGGCAGCTGCTGCGTCCGTTTCAACATCACGAGCGGCGAACGTAACCGTATCCGCGCCCTCGCGGTCTGGGTTATGTGGCGCGATCCCGCGGATACGCGGTCGTGCGGAAACGTTCCGCGCGACGCATCAGCGAACAAAAAACGCTCCATATCCGCGGGATCGCGGCCCAGGGGCCAGGCCCGCGAGGCCGCGGATACGCATTTTACTTTTCCGCAACAATTGAAACGAAGCCCAAACTGGGGACCTCTGGGATCTGGCGGTTCTGGACGATGTATCGGGCACCACGGCTGTTCCAGGGCGTTCCAGAACGCTATGAGAGCGTTCCAAAACGCTCTGAAACGATGTATCCCGATCCTGGGCCAGCCCGACCGCTTCCGTCTGCTTTCACGTTTTGCTCATCCGTTTCTGGCGCGGCTCTTTTCACATGAAGGGCAATCCGGAGCTTCTTCGACTGCATCGTTTTCAGGACGGTCTCCGGCGCCAGTTTTTCCCCGTATACGCCAAGATTGGATTATGGGTGGTAGTGTGACGCCTCCGCCTCCTCACTCCCGCCTTCTCACTTCTACGCTCAGACTCACGCCTACTCAGATTTACTGACGCTCAGACCCACCCACTCTCAGCCTCATTCGTACACAGACTCAGACTCACTGAAACTCATACTCCCTCACACTCAGGTTCACTTGTGCTCAGAATACTCATACTCAGATCACACACGCACATACGCACAAACACACACGAACACGCAGACTCAAATCCACTGGTACTCAAGCACACCCACACTCAGACTCGCTTATACCCAGACCACTCACACTCACATCCACTCATACTCAGCCCAGCCATACGGAACTCGTACACACCACTCACACACTGGTCAGTGACACTCAGACTCACTCACACTCATACGCGCAGTCAGATTTTGAGCAGCCAAGGGTGGGGCCACCAGGGAACATCTCAGGGGACCATTCGCGCATAGATTGTGGGGATGCCTCGGGCGATGCGCCCGCTTTGCAACTCGAGCTCCTCTCCTCTCATGGCCCCATGGCCACTGCGATTCAGCAGGCGCAGCACTTGAACACCCCCAAGGGGAGCCGCCAGAGGGACATCTCACGGGCATGTTCACGCCGAGATTGTGGGGTTGCCTCGGGCGAAGCGCTCGTTTTGCAACTCGGGCTCCTCTTCGTCGAGAACCTAATCGCAAAAGCGATGCAGCAGGCATAGCACTTGAGCGCCCCGAGGGGAAGCCTCCAGAGGGGCACTTCACGGGCCCATTCGCGCCCAGATTGTGGGGATGTCTCGAGCGAGGCGCTCGTTTTGCAACTCGGGCTCCTCTCCTTCCAGAACCGTATGATCATCGCGATGTAGCAGGTATCGCACTTGAGCACACCGAGGGTATCTCACGGGCCCAGTCGCGCCCAAATGTTTGGGATGTCTCGTTGCAACTCGAGCTCCCTTTTCAAAGCCACATGATCTCCGCGACGTGACGGACATGGCACTTGAGCACCCCAAGGGCGCGCCGCCAGGGGGTTACCTCACAAGCCCATTCCGCGCCCAGAATGTGGGGTTGTCTCGGGCGAGACGCCTGCTTGTCGCTCCGACTCCTCTCGGTTCAGAACCACCTGGTCACCGCGATGCAGCAGGCATAGCACTTGAGCAACCCAATGGGAGCCGCCAGAGGGATATCTCACAGACCCATCCGCGCCGAGATTGTGGGGATGTCTTGAGGGAAGCGCTCGCTTGGCAACCCAATTCATCTCGCTACAGAGCTACATGACCACCGCGAAGCAGCACTGGAGCACCCCGAGGGGGAGCCGCCATAAGGGTATCTCACGGGCCCGTTCTCGCGCAGATTGAAGGGACATCTCGAGCGACACGCTCGTTTGGCACCCCCGATTCCTCTCCTTTCAGAGCCCCATGATCCTCGCGATGATGCAAGTAGCACTTGAGAACCTCAGGGGGGAGCCGCCAGGTGGTGTTCCACTTGCACGTTCGCGCCCAGCTTGTGGGGATGTCTCGAGCGATGCACCGGTTTGGCTCCCCCGACTCCACTCCCTTCAGCCGGATGATCACCGTGATGTAACGTGCGTAAAACTTGAGCACCCCAGGGGGTAGCCGCCAGGGGGTGTTACACTTGCCCGGTCGCGCCCAGAGTGTGGGGATGTCTCAAGCGAGGCGCTCGTTTGGCACCCCCGTCTCCTCTCCTTTCAGAGCCCCATGACCACCGCGATGTGGTAGGCATCGCATTCGGGCACCACGAGGGGGAGCCGCCAAGGGGAGGTCCACTTCACCGTCTGCGGCCAGATGGTTGCTGGGATGTCGAAAGCAAACCCTTGGTTTTAGCACACCCGACCCCTCTCCATTCAAAGCCCCATGATCACCGCAGTGTAGCAGGCATAACACTTGGGCACACAAATGGTGAGCCACCAGGGGGTAGCCTTCGGCGGCAGAGAGAAAGCAGTATACGGCGGCAGAGAGAAGCGGAGAGGAGCGATCACACTCGGACTTGCACATTACTCGCGCTTAGATGTCAGTTGGAAAATGATGTGCACAAGGATCCCCGCGTCGAGCAACTCTTTATTATCATTTCCGGCTGCAACTGTTCCCGCTTGAACTGCCGCGTGATGCAGATTTCATATGTCCCCAGTTCCAACATTCCTTCGGACCAAACCCGAGCGCCCCACTGACCCCAGGACCACCAAAGCCTCCCGCCTCAACTTGCTTTTTCAGTTCCGCTCTCGCCAAAATGTCGTAATCGCAAGTCTTGTGTCCTTGCCCTCGTCTGTTTCGCTTCGGTGGGCAACATGAGCCTGAACCCTCTTCAACTTCGAGAAAAGGACAATAATAATGCCATGATTCGGTTGGCTTGGGATACGCTCTGGGAGTTACGGAATTTCTAGCGGCCCCCGGCCAGTCGGAATCACCCTGTCATCCGTCTCTGACAGCAACAAAACCTGGGAATCTGGGAAACAGATCATTATCTCTTCCTTTCCCTCTCTCTCTCTCTCTCTCTCTCTCTCTTTTTTTTTTTCTCTCTCTCTCTCTCTCTCTCTCGCTCTACTCTGGAAGCAAGCAGCTTTTCGAAAACTGCAAGATGAGGGGACACCAACAAACTATGCCGCTTCCCAGCCCCTCCGGATCCAGAATCTGGAATCCAGAACGCAGGCGCTGCGGCGCAGCAGAGCCTGCATACTAGCACCTCCGAACCCCGAGCCCGGCACCTGGCATCCGGAGTGGAGCTGAGAGCCTCGTGCGAGCGACTCGTTCCCCAGTTGAGCGACTCGTTCCCCAGTTTTTCAACGCGGAAGTAACACCAATTTGAAAGAACTTCCCCGGCAGAGCTCATAATCTAAACCGTTATGTTAAGATGTCGTAGCGATCATAAACACGAGTTCGCCCGTTGCACGTGGCCACTTACGTTGCCGCCGAAACGACATGAACCCGACCAGGGAACGAGTTCGTCAGACATGTTGTTGTATTGGTGTGCGTGGCAATGGCTTTGCCCTTCGCTTCTGAATCGCC